ATGGGGTAGGGGTGGGGGGTAAGAGTGAGAGGGTGAGGGGGGGGGGGTTAAATAGACTGAGCTACGACCCATTAGCGAAAGGTACAATCTTAAATTCTTAACATTTGGTCTTCCTAATCCAACGAGTGGAATACTTGGAGCGAGTAGCAAGAAGAAGGAAGTTTTGAAGCCCCTTTTATTTGACATTCAATTCTTCTCACGCTTTTTCCATCACTGTTTTCTCTTCGGGAACACTCACCTCGTTAATTCTTCCCCTCAATTTTTTTAATCTTGGACATTAAGATGTTATATGTTGTGAGGGTGTGTTAAGACGAGTTGATGAGCTAATACGCCTAGTTTACTTTTCTTATGCATGTGGATGTGGAGAGAAACTGGTGTGAAGCACTAGGCCAGCCACAAAGTAATAGGTTTGAATGTTGATCTATACCGCCCTTTCAATTGAAGAAAGAGTATGAAAATAATGACGAAGAAAGCATGAAAGAATAAGGAGCGTGAATATAATGACGAAGAAAGCGTGAAAGAATCTTTTTTGTTTTTGGTAAACCAAGTAAAAATCCTAAACAAAATTGTATGATTAATTTAGATAGCAAGTGAACATATAATACTCTTTTTATTATTTTTATTTAAATATTGAAAATTAACCATATGTGAATATATTAAGAGGGAAAAAAATAATTCTAAAACTGAGGTGAATCGTGTAGTTTTTATGTCCACCATCTGCAGTAAATCTCATCGATCTATTTTCAAAAAGATGTTCAAATGATGCACCCTCATCTTGGGCACATTAGTTGAGCAACTCTCAGCTTTCATATTTCTATTGATAGATTGAACTTTTGCTATTCACTTCCAAGGGTCAACAATGATAATTAGGGATTTTGACACATTTTTTTATAGGAACCATCTAACAAGCCCCGAACATTGAGGGTTAGGCGTCGCACAGACTCTTCAAGGTATTCATCACATTCAGAAAAAAACAGCTTAGCCTTTTCTCACAACACCACCATCCCATCCATTCACAAAATCTCTTCTTGAAGGCAGTTTATCAACAATTAGTAACATAAGAGAAGTAAAGCATATGTAAAGGGAAGACTGCCAACTGTTGAATGAACCCACTGAAATCTTCATTAAGTCATAGCAGAAAGTAATTTTGAAAATCAAAAGACAGGAAGTTTGACGAATACTGCTAAGAACATTAGTTTAAGGTCTCCTATTTCGCACAACTACAAGCTCTTTGAAAGCAAATATCACTCTACCACCATCAAATATATCCTTAGTTTGATCACAACACCAAATCGGTAGCTGAGTGCTGGAAAAAGGATTTAAGATAACCATCATTAAAGCAGGAGAAGCTAATGACTATTTGACCTTTACAGAGCAAGACCTACAAGAAAACAAAGTAATATTAGTTATAATTCAAGCAATGCAAGGAACAAAGTAAAATTAGTTATAATTCAAGCTATGCAGGGAACAAAGTGAGGGATTCTTTGTTTGGGGGAGGGGGGCAATTCTTCAACTTAAGTCTCATTACTGGTTGTGAGATATTTAGAAATGGGTTTCCACCAACAAATACAGAATTGAGCTAACCTCTAGAGCCTTAGCAGTAGAGCACAATTTATTGTGGTCTATATGAAATAAATACTAGGAAGCTTTTAAGTTTCTTGGGTTGTTAACAATCCAACCTTGATCCAAATCTTTTAGCAAGATATTCTACAATGGTTGCAAGAATACAACTTCTGTAGCACTACTCCAGACTAACATTATACTTCGTCATCATAAGAGGATATTGCAATGCAGTGTGGTCTACCACAAATGCTTCAGACACTAACACTTGGGAAATACTCGAACAAGCCAATTATGCATAGTTAGTTAGTACATAAGCCATAAATATGTAACGTAAAAACTGAAGCAAAATGAACAGCCTAAGAACCCAGCATACTACAGAACTTAAGCTTGCAAGTTCAATGACCACCCACCTCATTTTAATTGATCAATAGAAAAATGTGTCATAAGTTACTTTATTTGAGTTTGTTACAGATATTTTATAATTTATAATATTGACTCGCTGTGAAAATAGTAAAAGTGGACAATACTTTTCCATGGTGGAGATTCAATTCAAGCAAAGATGTTTTTTTCACAGGATGGAAGAAAATGGTAGGACAAGGAAGTGAAGGACGAAGGGAGAAATTCAATACTCTCTGAAAGGATACCATGTCAACAAAAGATATTATTCAAACTCTAGACAAATTTAGTGTCCACGATATTTTCTCAATACCTCTGTCTGTCCAAAACCTATATCACTATATATTCAAAACCAGAGCAATTTCCATCCACACCTTCCAGATCCATCAAGAGATAACATCATAACAGCGCACCATCTGGTTTTCAAGATTGACAGACTTAAATTCAACACAAAACAGTATAAAAGAAGTTCCTGCTTGGATGATATAAAATCACTACCTTCAGTGCAAAAACCAAATGATCAGAGACAGGTGATCTTTCAAGGAGAAAAAGGTGTTCATCATATTTTGCGAGTATTGCATATATAGGCCATCTTCCATGAAATGATCTTCAATAAATTCATACAACAATAATAAAATCGTTCATCAACTTTGCCATATAATTACACAAACAGCTAGTCAAAATTAAATACAAAAGGTCAAGCTTATACTGTCAATTAGCCTATTCCAAACCAATCATCATGCAAGAAACTCACCATAAGTACTGAAAAAAAGGGCCAAAGAAGCACTATAATACTTAGCTCAAACTATAGCTTAACTGAACTGCATTTTCAGTTTTCATATTAATTGTAGAATATACTCCACAAAGACATTATTATACTTAGAATAAGCTGAAAAGATTGAAAATAAACTCAGTTAACAGTAACATACAGATTCTACTGCTGCTGATTCTGCTGGTGAGGTGCATTTGGAGGAGGTGGCATTCCTGGGCGAGGAGGTCCAAAGACTGGAACTTGCCCACCAGGAGGTGGTGGAGGCATCCCCGGATGAGGTGGTCCACCAGGCATTCCCGGTCTTGGTGGCTGCGCCCCCGGTGGTGGAGGACCTCTCATCATCTGTGGCGGTGGTGGTCCCATGGGCCTCTGACCAAACTGAGGCGGAAATGGTCCAGGCCCGCCAGGCCTGAACTGTGGCGGCGGTGGCATAGGTGGGCCACCAGGTCTTTGCATTTGCATTTGCATTGGCGGTGGAGGTCCACCACCAGGTGGTCGAACCATAGGAGGAGGAGGCTGCGGCGGGTAATTAATCGGCGGACGAGAAATCTGCGGCTGCATCATTCCCGGTGCAGGTCCACCAACCCCACGAACAGGACCAGCAAGACCCGGCTGAGCATGAACCATCGGACCAGTCGGAACACCCCGACCAGCAGCCCTACCCAACCCAGGTCCAGGAACAGCAGAAACACCACCAGCAGTAGCTTTAACACGAGAATCATCGGGAGGTGGAGGACCTTCAACAGTCATGGAAATAACTTCTTCACCTCTGAGAAGAAGAAGACCAAGTGTACGGCGATCTTCACGTTCTTCCTTAGAACCTTTAGTAGGAGGAAGCTTACGAAACTCTTCACAATCGCCAAGTACAAGATTCATATGTCGATCAAATGCCATAAACTTACCGATCAATTGACGGCCATCTTGGATAGTAACACGCATACGATAATTGATGTATTGAAGCATCTTAGAACTCTTCGACATCGACATTTTGACTGAATTCGCAGCAAAATCGGCAATGGGGTTTAGGGTTTTGCGCAGATCTCAGAAATTGGGAGAAAACGTTTGGGGACTCGGCTCAGGGAGTGAGTAAATTGAATAGGGTTTTGGAAATTAGGGCTTATTTGGGGTAGTTTTGGATTTATGTAAAAATGGGCGGGCCATTTTGTATTTTCATTTTCAATCTTTTTCCCTCTCATTAATTAGGACTTTCACTAATTTTGTTTGACATATCCTTATACTTACATTAAAAAAAAAATATTTAATCACAAAAATTGGAAGGTATATGTAAATTAGGTACATAGCATTTTGTATAGTAATATTCTCAAGTCATAGCATTAGAGTCTGAATTTCAGTGTATAACATTTAATATCTCAATCTATAGCATTTTATTAATAAATATAATATTAATTATAATTTATTAAAAAGAATTGTTATTAACAATTAATTAAAAAAAAAGGAATAAACTAACAATGAATAATTAATACACCTAATTAACTTATAGACAAACTAATAACGGAAAATGAGATACTTTATTAATTACATTTAATGTAGTTAGCACGTTTTGAAACTGTACACTAGCACGTTTAAGGGATTTTGATTAAAAATTAATATTAGATTAACACATTTTTAGGGATATCAAAAAATTTTAGATTAGCACCATTGCCTTGAATATCTCTAGTAAGTTTAAATGATATTAGTTTTTTTGATTTAATTTCTTAAAGAACTCTACAAAATTTTAACGATCATTTTCAAATTTGTAGATTATTTTCAGATTGGCATTTTGAAACCTATTTGCATCATCGTTATAATTCATCTTTTTCCAAATTTTCACGATTATTTTCAAACTAGTAAATTTAGCCGCGCTATGCGCGGTGTCTAAAAGTTTTCATTTTTATTTAATTTTTAAATTCAAATAGATTAGTTGATAAATTTTATCATTTAGCTTTGTAATTTCAACTCAATACATGAATTAATTTTATCAAAAAATATATACCTGTATGGTCAAATATCTATACATTTTTTTGGTTGAATAGTACCTATGATTTTATGTTAGTTATAATATATAATTAAGAATTTATGACTTCATTATCCATTTGAATGAGTTCTCAAAATTAAATATGGTTAACTTTGATGTTTTGTTAAGAATTTAAAGTGAGATTTTTAGTCTTTTAAATTTTTTAAAAAATATCAAAAGAATTAAAATAGTAATAAATTCAAAAACAGACTTAGAAATATGAAAAATTATTCGTAATAGATAAGCTACCTATAATTTGAAGACTTAAAAAAAGTAATTCAATAATTATATTAAGATATAAAGTTCTCTGTATATTGATTCTTTGAAAAAAAAATGGGTGATACATGATTTTAGTTCGGTAAAATTATTTTTAGTGATATAGAATTAACATAAAAATAATATATTATTGTTAAAATGCATAATAGAATAAGTAATAAATGAACAATTATAGATGAATGATAAAAGGTTTTATGGTAAGATTAAAAAAAACTTATATATCTACTAAAAACTTATAATTAGACTCTTGAATTTTTTCTGAATAAAGTAAACATAAAAAAACT